AGCTCTGAGGTAACATTTAAGCAAAGAAGTTCTGGGGGCTTTGCTCCCCTGATCTTCAGTTTTAACTCTGTCTCTGGGTATTTTATTTTTCATGTTACAGACTCTTCTACTGTTCCAATTTTCTGAAGTACAATGATACTAGCTAGTATTTCAATAGTGCTTATTATGTGTAAGCACCATTTTGAGTATACACATACACATTTATATGTACATACATGCATAAATGCATATAGTTCAGTAAGTCCTCACAGCAGCTGTAGGGGGTAGATTCAGTTGTTACCATATTGAGAGATGAGGAAACTAAGACATAGATGAGCTAGACAATTTGCCCATGAGTACACAGCTAGGAAAAGAGATTTCACTTGCATTGAGGCAGTCTGGTGGTGTTCTGTGTTCTTAATGATAATATTAGCCTGCTTCTGCGACTTGAAAGCTTTACACCTCATTTAGACATTTACAATCAATCAATTTGTCTCAGAATTAGGATTCATTATATATTTTAGTTTTAAAAACAGTTATCAATTTGTCTTAACAGAAACACTTGAAATATGGGGATTATAAATAAGGATTAATACTTTATTTACTTTGGGAAAATACTGAGTATATAAATGACATCACTGTGAAGGATTTAGCTAATCACAAACTGTCACATTCAGTCTTTGAGCAATTTCATTTTAAACTAAAGAAGGGCATTTCAAATGTGTGTGATGTCAGCAGACCTCCTCTGTCTTTCCTGATTTATTCTGTGATTGTCTCACTATCCTACGTAGAAAAGGAGGAATCACTTAGCCTCAACAGTTCTACTTATTTTTTCTGGCCTCTTTCTACTCTAGTGTGTCTGTCTGTATCACCCATTTATCCTTTCAAATATCCATCCATCCATCCGTCTGTCTGTTCATCTGTACACCCACCCACCCACCTACCAATCTACATACCCATTCATCCACCCACCCATCCACCCACCCACACCCACCCACCCACCCATCCATCCATCCAACCATCCATCCATCCATCCATCCATCCATCCATCCATCCATGCATCCACGAATCCTTCCATCCACCCAGTATAGTATGCTATGCATATATATCTAAGTCCTTGGGTATCACTACAAAAATAAGTTGAAAGGACAATGTTTTATGCTTTGCGGATTCCTATTACATGACAATGGCATGTAGCTATGTTAACGATTGCTTTTAAATGGATAGAACCCATTTAAAAAAATGCATTTCAATATGTAGTCCAGGACTATGAGATCTTATTTTAACTAGAAGGTTCTAGCGATTTAAGTTTTACTTCAATGAAGTTTATAAATTCTGAATTATTTTGCTGAACTTCGGTCTCTCAAAGAGCTGTCTGTGTTTGAAGGCTCTGCTAAGTTGATGTGACATTAGTGTCAGCTTTTGCCCGAGGCTGGCTCCAAAGTGTGCTGTCTTAACAGAATGCAGCATCTTCTGATAATCTAGGATCAGTTTGCAATGATACCAGAAGTAGGCTAGCTTTCACTGAGGATTTTGACACATACTTCTCACTGGACCTTTTAGTCATATTTTGTGCTCTGGACATCTCTGTAATATTGAGGAAATCCAAGACTTTCAGTGATTCATGGAGAAGCAGTAATTCTGTAGTAGAAAAATTGCCAGGAACATGAAGGATTAGGCAAAAAGGATTCTTCTTTACACCAGGCCTTCTAGGTTATATAGATGAAATCTTTCACTGTGGCTTTCTCCCGGAAGTGGCTTCTACACTCCCACAGAGTGGTTACTCACAATTTGGATAGTCTTGAGATTTTTGCTTTTGCTCTGTGGAGATCTTGCTTGAATTGATTAAATCAAGAGAAGTAAGAGCAAAGGTCGCTGAAACGCATTTACTGTGAGTTAGATGACAGCTTCTTCACCTTCAGAAAATTCAGCACTCTTGCTTGAATTCATAACCTTTCTTCCAGTAGAAAAATGCCAAATTAAAGGGAGACCTCCCATGCCCAGTTCTATTCCTTCTCTTTCCTTAGTACTTCATTCACGTTGATAAAGTGTTGATGTCTGCCCAGAAGAAGTTTAGAAACTAAGTACATTTCTACCTATGTCCAGATCTGGTCTTTAAAACAGTCAGAATCAAATGTCTTCCAAGGCCTTTACAAATGATAACATAGCATGGTCCTAGGGGGTTTCTAATAAAGAAGAAGCTCATAGGATTTAAGTTCTCAATATATAGCTGTGAGTGAGTGAGTGTGTGTGTGTGTGTGTGTGTGTGTGTGTGTGTGTGTGAGTGAGTGTGTGTGTGTGTGAGTGAGTGTGTGTGTGTGAGTGTGTGTGTGTGTGAGTGAGTGTGTGTGTGTGAGTGAGTGAGTGTGTGTGTGTGTGTGAGTGAGTGTGTGTGTGTGTGTGTGTGTGTGTGAGTGAGTGTGTGTGAGTGAGTGTGTGTGTGTGTGTGTGTGTGTGTGTGTGTGTGAAGAGGGAAGAGGGAGGGAGAGAATGGATAAATGGACAGTTGAAAAGGTTTTTTCTAGGATGTACAATCAAATAATATAGTTTGATATCAGATATGTTCATTTTTGGCTAACTGCTATCCTCTACTCAAATATTCATGTTTAAGGTACCAATTCTCAGTACCTCAAAAATAGAGTGCACTTGGATACATGGTTTTGATTGAGGTCATCAAATTCAAACGAGATCATTAGAGTGAGCCCCAGTCCAGTTTCACTGATATCCTAATGAAAACGAAATATTTGGACTCTGACATATGTACAGAGGGAAGGCTGTGGAAACATAGGATGGATGTCTCCAAGGGACCAATACCTTGAATGTGGCTTTCCATTCTCTAGAACTGCGAGGGAAAATATATATATTAAGCCACTTACTTTGTAGTCTATGCTACTTTGTTATGGCAACTGTAGCAAATTAATACATCTTTTATGTCTGATACCAAAGTACAAAATAAAAGTTCAGAGACCTTCTAAAGGTTACCTCACAGGCTTTTATGTCAATACTGGATGCTCTTTGGCCTAAACCCTGGCTGGACTAAGAAGCAGAGTCACCAATGAAATTCAGAAAGAAATCTGGGAACTTCTATGACACAATACATGTTGCTGCAAATTTAGGGCTAATATTTAACCCTGAATATATATTTACATGGGCAATTCTTCTCTAATAGATTAGTACAAAACTTAGGATGCATGCAAAAGATGTGGTCTTTCTTTGCATATTTTTTGTTCGGATGTATTTTTCGAAGAAGGGGAAGGGTGTATCTTGTTGGCATGGTTTTAAATTTTTCTTTGTTCTTGATGTCAGTTCTTGTCACTTTGTGCTTTCCGAAGTGTTATATTTCCCTTTTCCATTCCTTCCATGTGTAGTTACTGCATTGCATAGCAGGTTATTTTCACTTCACTTCCATCATAGACGTTATCTAGCTCGGTGGAGGCCATTTTTCTTCATTTCCTCTCTGGCTTCCCTATGGCTGTCTGTTCCTTTCCCTCCTTGCCTGTGTCACTTCCCTTTTGGCCTGTGTGGTCGCAGCTCCTAACTCTACTACCCCTTCTCTGCGCTTCCTTCTCTCCTCTGATGTGCTGAGTTGCTTCTGTTCCCTCCTTCCCTCCAGGCTCTGTCTTTGACTCACCTTTTCTTCTCCTTAGAGGCTTCATTTTCTTGTTTGTAGATAGGGGCTGGGACTGCAAACATCACAAAAATAATTGCATTGAGAATGGATGGTTCCTGAGCTAAAGACAGGCTTTGAGTCTGCCCAGAAGGCCCGGGCTCCATAGGGAAAAGGAGCCAGCCTTAGTGCTGGGGAGCAGTCTACAACTCAGGCATCAGAGGTGACATTCTGGAGCTTTGGACCTTGTATCTCATACCCACATTGTCTTCTACTACAAAGAACAAACACTCCTTTGTGCTTCATTCACACACTGGCATTCTTTCTGAGTCTTGTACCAAATGTGTTCTATACATACCTACCAAGTCCCCTGGCATCCTTTGAGGTGACACACTAAGGTGATGTCTCCCCTGAGGCACCATGGTCCTCCTTCAGCCTCAGCTGTGGTTTAGAACCAGGAAATAGCAAGGGTGTGTTTGTGAACATCTAGGTCTCTTATCCTGTGCTTTTTACATAATTCTAGTTTTGTTTGAATGATAGAATATACATGGTCAGCTTTTTGTTTGTTTGTTTTTGTTTTTACCAGCAGAACTCCTCACAACACCTAAGATAAGGTTGTTCTTTCCTTCCCATTTCCTTTTCTAGTTTTTATCTTCTCCTTATTTCTATGTAAGGACTACGACTTATTACTTAGGCTCTGATATATTTGTTCCTTCATTAACAAGTGTACCAAGTGGTCAACATGCATGAATGTTTTATCTGTTTTTGATCACACAGATGGTTTTTCTGAGGTTGCTTTACAATAAGTACTTGGACAAAGGATGCCTTGTGTTTTGATCATTAGAAACATCTATACATTCCTATAGCTGAACAGAGTATGTTTATTTTCAGTGTTTATTTTTTCTCTTTAGTTTATAATTGTCATTGTGAATTTCAAAAAGGTCCTAGTAGCGAGTCTTTCTATCTTTGGACCATTGTAGAACTCCAGGACTTAATAAATTTTGTTAGTAGGTACAATTACAACACATGTTAATCCTTGTCTAACAGATACTTGGTGCAGACATTCCACTTGTACATGGAGTGCATCTTAGAGTATATCAATTTGCTGAAGTCTGACAACTTGATACACTAAATACTGTCATTATCACAATTTTATTGATAGTTAAGACTTGGTATGCTATTTGGAAAAGAGGCTTCACTGGGCAACTTGAGATTTGGCAGGTTTAGTCCAGAGCAGTGAAAAAGATAATTTTCAGTAGAGAATGATTGGAAGGATGGACCCATAAGCCATTCTGTTGCTGGGATTGAAGCCTTTTTGACCTGTTATGTAGGAGACATAGGACAGAGTTTCCATTTCCCGCCCCCTGTGAAATGAGTACTCAAGAATGACTGCATTCCATTCACACACACTTACCTTCTGAGTCTTGGGCATGTCAGTGTGGCGCTGGGCACGGATAGAGCGGGCTGATTTTGTAGGCTTGAGCGGGGCACAGTACATCTCCAGCCTTCTCAGATCACAGCTCCGGAAGCAGCACTCGTCTACAATGCCTGTCTGAGGTGCCCTCCGAATGCTGGAGCCATAGCCTGTGGGCTTGTCTGCACAAATCAGAGCAGCCTGGAGTTAGACAGAATTGCCTATGTTCACAGATTTCCATCTAGCCCCTTTGCCTCTCTGTTCCCTACAACAAGTCTCTATGCTTCTCCAACACATCATCCTTTTCTTGAAGTATCTCCAATAACATCTGACCCAGTATGTTCCTTTAGATTCTAGTATGTTCCCTGGAGTTACACCATACTCATGTGCAAGAATCCATTCACCATACACTTGTATTTGTATTGAGTCTGCCTATGTTTTGAACAACCTATAATCAAGAATTCTGTCTATGTCCAGTTCTATCCCTTTTCTTTCTAGTGTCTTAGTTGAGAGATCTTTAAGTGTACCACTTAAAACAAAATTACAGATCAAGTTTTTTACATTTTTGTGAATATACTGATTTGCTTTTGTTGTTTTTAAATTGACAACATGATTGTAGATATTGTGAGGGTACAGCATGATACTCTGGAACACAGATATAAATAAACACTAAATAATGATCAATTGAAGGTTCTTAGGTTGACTGTTTTCTCAAACATTTGAGCAAGAGCACCATTTAATACATGACGCTGGGGAAACTTAGTTTTCTTAATGATTTAGTGAATGTGTACAGTTTTCGAACATAGGTCAGCTAAATTGTTCTTTTCTTAACTATTTCTCTTGTGAAATCAAACTGCATGTAGGCAAAGTTTGAAGTCTAGAAATATATCCTTATTTTATGGATGAGAAAATTGAGACTCAGGTTTTGAATGACTTGCGCAGGGTCACTCATGCAGTAACTGGTGAAGTCAGGGTTTAAACTCTGATCTACTTGCTATTAAACCCAAGAGCCTCATGGAGCCCAGAAGAAACCGGTGTATAGCTCCAAAAAAGTCACTTAAGCTCTGCAGGTCTCAATCTATTTGTACAATGGTTAATAACATCTTTCTTGTCAGAACGAGGATAAATTGAAACGATGTATTAAATAAAACAATGTATAGCACCAGGTACAGAAGCGATCTTAACTACATATTAATTTGCATGCTCTTTTCTAAGATCTCAGATGAGCTATGAAAAACCAGTGTTGCCACTGAGCACACCCAGAAGTCCGGAAACTCAGAACAGATTATAATACCAGTGGGGAAGGAAAGGGGCTTGCATGGCCACCCCAGAAATGCTGGAACAACCATTTCTGTTACCTTACAGTGTAATTATTGGGCTGGGATGGAAGGAACTAAATGCCAGTGAGAACCCTGATATTAAACCTCCTTTGATAATTTACAAATCAACTGGACTTCTTTAATTGGCTAGGTTTTGGTTTTGATTTGGGCACACTTTAATGGATTTCAGAATTAAAAGAAATGGTAAAAAACAAGCTTACATAGACCTTAACAGGCACCAAAAGCATCACTTCTTGTCACTATAAAGCTGTTGTAGATCAAATTTTGTCTATACAGTAGTGTATTAAATGTACAAAACATGAAGCTGTGCTGTCAGTCAGGTATACAATTTCTATCTCTTCTCAGTTCCTTACATCCTTTGTGACATGGGTTACTTATGGTCTCTCCCTTGACATCTAGGCGCCATGAAAGAAATGTGCGAACCACTGATGTATAAGAATCTAATTAGCAACCTGATATATGCTTAATCCTAATTCCCAACCCAAGATGGCATGGCATTAAACAAAGTCTTAATATCACATAAATAATGACTCAATAAATAATGGGGTTCTGAAAAAAATCAAAGTTTTCACCCACATTTTTCACCTCCTCATTGGGGGAGGGCGGTCCCACGACCATGGCCTGCTATCATACTTGTTTGGCTGCCACACTGCTGGAAAGGCCAACAGTTTATCGTGTCCTCTAAGAACCCAAATGTTTTCCTGATGCTTGCCACAGAAACCTCGCTGCTTCTTCCTCACATAAATAAGGCTTATTCTCAGGGCAGCTGGAGGTAGTAACTTCGTGAGGGTTCATTTGTTGTCTTTCTGAGAAGGTCTGCTCTCTCTCTCACACACACAGCAGACCCTGTGGGCTGCCTGTGGTTGTGGGCTTGGGGAGGGACCAGACAACTGGGATTTTCCTTGCCATAGGAGGGAAGACTAACATGAAGTGGTCTTAGGGCTTTTGCTTGCCAGTCTGGCCCTGGCAAGTTGGAACACAGCTAGTCCCTTGGGCAGTGTAAACAGTGCTTTTGTTTTCTTGCTTTTTATAATTTTTTTCCTGGGGCTATAAATTAGAGGAAAGACAGAAATGGATGTCCATGGCTCTTGTAATCCACAGAGGACTTCTACATAGTTTTCTAACTGGATAGTCAGTTGAGACTAGGGGCTACACTTGGGTCCTTTAGAAGGTAGGAAAAAGGAGAGGGGAACCCTGTCTCTCTACTGTACCTATCACAATAGTAACCTGCAGGTAATTACTGGCCTTTTTTTATTCACACATTTCTTAAAGGGCGTGCATAAAGAATTACTTGTTGATTAGGGGATAGTTATTTGATATTTGGGATTGGAGTTGTAGGAGTCCTTCTAGAAGCTTCCAAACTTGGCCAGTTCACATACAACTGTTTTCACAACTCAGGCTTATGGATTGAAAATGGAGAGGGATAGATTGGGAATTCTAGAACCTATTTAAGGTTTCTATTCCAAGCACTTCTCAATCTTAATTCTTCGATCCATGCTTCCTCTAAGGGAAGATGCCATTACCTTGGGATCAGCAAAAAGCATTTCCCTGCACCACATGACCCTTCTTGGTGATTCTCAAGAGCCATGAGACCACTACAGGTCTTTTCCATCTTCTAAAATAGATAGTAAACATCACCACAGCAAAGCATGGCACATCATCTCAGTGCCTAGATCGCTGTATGTCTCAGAAAAGCTTAGAGTTTGATGTAGTCCATACTAAAGGTAGCTGTGCTTTCCAGTCCTTAATGTTCCATTAAGGAGCTTGACTTTATCTTATATCTGCATCTTTTTTTGAATGTTATTGGAGTAGTGGGACACATATGTGGATTTTTCCATGAACCAGTTAGCTCAAGCTACCAATTCTACAGGGCTGGTTTTCTTTGTCAGTTCATAATGACTACCTACAAAGGACACATTGTACTTTATTCAGAATTTATGAGTATATCAAATGTTTGCCTATTGCTTTTTAAAGCTTAGTAAATCCTTTGACCTGTCCCATAGGCTTGTTTTTAATAACCATCATTTCTCAGCAATTGAGGGGCCACAGTTGTGGGTCAAAGTTTTAAGTTTTATTGTCAACTACCTCACATAAGTCTTTTTGTTTTCTAAAGAACCACAATAAAAGTATTTATTGTTATGGTCTAAAACAGGAAGCCTAGTGCAATACAGTTTATCAGATAAGCAATCAAACAAATCTCCTCAATATCTATTGATAGAAGTATTTTGCTTAATCACATTTAAATTACAACAAACTTCAGCGATTTGATTTTTTTAAATGAGCTAAAACTGGTTGCTATATCATTGCCTTTCAAAACTCCTTGTTACAGATTGATAGAATCAGAGTTATCAGGGAGATAGAAGACAAATTTGGCTTAACATAAAAGATTCTGAACAATTTGAAGAAAAAGAAAGCAGGCTTTCTTGAAAAGTAATGGACACCCCACAACAGGAAGCAGCTAAATAAAGGCTGCACAAATGCCTGTCAGCGACCTTGGAAGCAGACTCCTGCAGGGAGATGGATGACTACTGTGGTCCTTTCCATTCCAGGGATTCTATAGAAAATTGTGTCTACATATTCGGCATAGTTAGGGAGCGTGTTGTCTTCAAGAAAGAGTTTCAAATATTTTTAAACTTAGAAGATGGACATTTATTTTGTAATTATCATTTGTGTTCTCCAGAATGCTCAAAATACTTTTCCTTGTTGGTACCCAATGCAACAGTAAGATACAGATAGGTGACTGCGACAGTTCCTTTCATGGTGACGTGTGATCTGAGGGTTCTCCTACCAGCTACACATTTAACTGTTAGATGGTATAACATTCTGCAGAAATTTTGCTCACAAAGTTTTAACATTGAAATTTCACAATAAAAAACTTACTTTGTCAGAATCTTAGTTTGGAGGTCATCTAGCATACAGATCAAAGACAGCTTAGCGGACAAGCTTGCCACCACTTAACCTAGACTTTGAGTCTATTATGAGTAGACATAAGGGTTACACATAACACACTGCTGTATTTTAAACATGGGCCAACACACAGACTTCCAATAGTTAAACAGCTGGCGTCTATAATAGCAGTACTTCTATCTAAATAATGCATGGTCACTGCAGTAATTCAATAATCTTCAGGGCAAACTTGCTAGTTACAAGGGTTTGGGGCAGAACTGTGGTATCATCAAAACCACACTAATTAGCTGAGTATCACATTTTGTCAGGGAAGCAAGCGACTCACTCCCCTCCATCTCTGAGGAGAAGTGTGCACTTCAGAGATTTAACTGGGGTCATCACTTCTAGAGCAAAGAGTTCTGCCCATTCATCATGAGTAAAACAACCTCTACCAGTCTGCATGAATTCTCATCAGATCCTGTAACTGTACTTGAGCCTGTACTTGAGACACTGTACTGAACTTTGATCTTGGTGAACTTTCCTTTCTTTCTTGCTGAGAATGCAAACATTTCCAAAATAAGAATATAGTTTTGAAGATATACACATATTTTTCTTTAGGTTACAAAAATAAAACAATTCTCTAAAGCAATTGATAATAGGAAGAAGAGGTACCAAAGTAGATTCTTCTCAAAACTGATTTTTAAAAATTGAAAACAGAATGAAGAGGCAAGAGAGGGTTTGGAGGTTATTTCTAGAAAAATTTCAGTCACACACCTGATAGAAAATATAAATCAAATTATTAAATAATAAAACAACATGTCCTTAACTTTTAGTAGCTGAAGATTGATTATACAAGCAAATATCATAGCTAGGATCTGTAGAAATCAGAACACTGGTTTTCTCACACAGGTCTCTGCTCTCCTCTCCTCTCCTCTCCTCTTCTCTTTTTTCCTTTT